ACGCACTGTCCGACATTGCACCGCGTGCGGGAGACGAAGTTGGGCTCTGCCCGTGTTCACTGTCAGAACCAACGAGACTTGGAGACTTCGGTGTTGTTGTCACAGGTCTCATTGAGCACGGAAGTTGTTTTGTTCCAACGAACCAAGTTGCAGTGTCTAACGGACACGCGAGCCTCGTTGAGGCAATAATCGATTGAAATTGGAAATGTTCTCAATCTTAATGGGGGAGAGTGTAATGGGGTTACACGTACCCTACAATAGGGGTGTGTGTGCCACACGAGATGGGCATGGTGTGACTGAACCCAAACAAGAATACGGGATGTGGCTGGGTAGCCAGTAGTTATGCATGTATTTATATTTTACTATATATATAGAGAAAAATCTATACATTTAGATTTGGCGGCTATGCCGCAGATAAAAATAAATAAAAGTCAGTTTTGGGTTTTAAACGGAAGAGTAATTAGCCTTGGGATAAGGCAATAATTACTCTTGGGGTAAGCGCATTGTACTTGTTCTAGGTATAGAACGTAAGGTCGGTGACCTAAGTTAAGCTTCCTCAAAGCGCAAAGCTACGGCAGCCCCGCTGTAATCCAGACCTTGTAAAATATGTTACATGATCTGGGTAACGGATGGTTCGGCCATGATGAATAAGGTCATTATTCGTTTACACTTAGTTTTACCTCTCTTCAATTGTATCGTAAATCTTTAATCCGTTCAACTTCTTGGAGCATAGTATCGACTTTTTGAAGGGGGTCGGAAAGAGACTGGCCTTGATATGGGAGATTTTTTTTCCGTTGGTTAGATGCTTGGAAAGAATTGAAGCTTGTCGATGCGATATCTTGGAAAAAGAGAAGAAATCTTGCGCGGTTTCGAGGCTTGACATCAGAGCCGAAGACGAAAGCTTCTTCACAATCAAATGAAATTTGAGATTCAGCACAGCGCTCATTGCCCATAGAACGTGCATGACTGATTTGGACTTACTTCCTTTCACCGAAGCTGATGACTCAAGTCAATGAGCGAAGTGTGGGTCGGCTTGTGCGTACACGACTTAAAACTTTTGAAATGAACTAGATACTTTGAGCTATCAAGCCGGGTCCAACCATGATACCCAACTGAGTGACTCTATCCGCTAAAGCAGGCTCTCAGAATTGCGGGTAGAAACTGAGAATCACACACTCGATGGCACTTCACAACGCTTCCAAACTGAATAGGGCAAAATAAGGGACAGCACATATCCAGGGACCCCAACGAGGAACTTGACAACGAGAGGCGACCAACAAGTGCTACCACTTGTAAGGATCGTTCGCACCTATGAGGTTTTGGACGGTAGTTGGCAAATAAAGAAGTGAGAAATTGTTAGACTGATTCCTACGATATATGTAAACTCCAATTTCTTCCTACTGTTTCGTCGTTCTTCATATGATGTCGCCTTTCCTTTAACTACTATGAATATATGTATCATATCTCCTTGGACGTGGAAACATTCTGTATACGTGAACATGTGACCTACACTTACTTACAATCTAGAACGTATTCTAGAATCATCGATCATGTGAGTATGGTTCCTTACACCTATAATAGGCACTCTTGCAACAATTGTAAATAACTTGTGTCATTTTCACTCAACTGTGGCGACGTAAAGATCGCTTAAGTGCGAGCACCAAGTTTCGGAAGTAGCAAAATTAAAATGTTCTCGAGTTTTTCGCAATTTGGACATTCAAACCGTGGTGCGTAGTCGATGAAGCATTGTGTTCGACTCAATCGTTTTTTTTATTTTGCGGTAGTCATATCCTATGCTCACGCCTTTCTGCATTCGGACGATTCCTTATGTTCCTTATTTCTACGAAAAACGGAGCGCGACTGAAACAAAATACGAACATAAAACATGTATTGAAAAACAGTGTTATATTTGAAAAAGAGCGAATTTGCCGGCTGTGTAACGTTCCTTCCAGCGAAGACTAGATCCGCGAAGCTTTTTTCCATTTGAGGATTGCGAAAACGAATTCAACCGTGGTGGTAATAGGAAACAGGAACGCTAAGCTCCCAAAGAACTCCATAAGTTCAGACACTGTCTTAAGTCATATTTCAAGCTTCGACGTATCCCATCTGTTTTTTCATGCGGCCCAACACTTTCCGGACTATTTGCTCACAATCGATTACATCCACAATCAAGTATATCTTTGCCAGTGACATTGTCAGTCGATCGCGGTATTTCAAAGCCGTCTGGGTAGCATTTCGTGGCTTTAATGAATTGGTGGGAGCTCAGACGTCAGCTATTTCCATTACGATTACACTTGCAACTTGTGCTACCTCAGCACTAGTATTAGACTCAACCTTGTCAAAAGCTTGGCTGGCGAAGATACCATGATCCTGAAATGAGACCAATCACATCGTCGTGACTACCCTGCCATTGCTTGAAAGCAATGACCACTTTAGAAGTAGAGTATATTCTCGGGAATACGTTTCACAAACTCAAAAGTTGATGTAAGCGCAAGTGTTTTTGACAGCAGCCATAGTGAACGTAGACATATCCGCTGATATGTTTGGAAATTTCACTGACGACAGTAGCTACTATTCTCCAAGAATTGGTAATTTGCTCGCCAATAACTTGTCTACTTAATCTGACGAGGGGGGAGGTATTCGAGAACAGCCTGGTATATTGCAGTCAAACGTCAATCCAGGAAAATCCTAAATTATCGGTTGTTACATCAAAGGTCACAGAAAACGCCCATCTACTGCCCAAAATGTGAGCAATATGCTCGGAAAATGTTGCGAAAGAAACGATGCAGCTAGATTTTTGATCTTTTGAGATATCGCAGATATTTTTTTTAATCTTGGATCACAACAGAAGCCATCCTGAAAGTCATTTACGCGACCGACGAATGGGTTACCAACAGAGATTGTTTTACGTGTTTGAAATCGATGGCATAATTCCCACACTTTTTAGTTTGAACAACGATACAACGGGATATTGCCCGCCATATTTTCTACGAAGGGGCATTTCTTGAGGCCTGGGAGACTAAAGCCATTGAAACTGATACTGATCGTTCTACATGGCTGCCTGGAATAAATCAGCATCATTGATGATGAATAAAAGGCCGACCCCCGAAATCAGTCCTTTTATTTATGAGTTTGCTACTTTTATTTAGAAGATCGGTTTCTAAAGCAAACGATTCCGTAAGTAGAGCTTGTTATACTCCTCGCAATTGCATTAGCGCGCGAGAATACGCTTCAACGTGTGACTCATAAAAGCACAACGTTTTCAATCAAAGGACAGAGTTTGCGAGACCATGCACCTCTTTATCAGGCAGAAAATACTCGGGACGTTTATAAATTGAGGCATTCTATAAATCTGAAATACTGGGCTTCGTTTTTGCAAACAGCAAAAACCTGTGGTTGTCATAAAAATACTGTTTCAAATCAAAATATGACAAGAAGAAAGTACATAAACTCCTATATGGAGAAAGGCAAGCGCAAGAACTCTGTGTGATGATGTTCATTTTGCAATATTGCAAGTTCCTAAGCTCAAATATCAACATGGCCCTGAATGTCTTGAATGATGAAACGTGTGATCTGATTAATGCGTCATATGCGATACCCAATCTTGAAACGGCGGTGATGGAAGGTGAGGCATTAAGCTGAACAGCAAAACTTTCAAATGACGAGCCAATTTCAAGTCAACAGTGATTTACAACAGTATCGACGCTCAGGCAAAGAAAATTACGGTGATCGTTGACGTGGAAACGGCGTCTTTCACAGTGGTCGATGATGGTAGGGATCTCAGCTGCTAGTAATATTTTGGTTTAACATTGAGGTATCAGGAGATGGCATTCAGCCAGACGATCTCCTTACATACATCGGAGAATCTTACGGTACGGCGACTCGATTGCAAAGAAGCTTTGTGTTTATTCTCAGTGACGCTTGTAGCTTCATCGAGAGTGACCCAGTTGAGTCCCACACGTCATGTAAAGAGGCCGCCCAAATATTACGGCTGTCGCGGCGCCTTTCTAAGAGAACTGACCGCACTTGGTGCAGAGGTTGAAGTTGAGAGTCGAGTAAAGACGCATTGGACTTCGTACCGAAAAATTTTCAAGGTCAGACTTTTTTAGAAATGAACAGAATACGAAGAGCGCTGACATAATGATGCTCTGACACTAGGAAGGAAACGTGGTTCTTAAAGCTCGCTCTGAACAGCAATGTGAGGCACCAGGAACAAAAGTTGTTGTGTCAAATCTCTTTTGGAAGCTTCCAGTGCGGCAAAAAGATCTAAATAATAACGAAAAGCACCGTGCGCGTGTAATTCAGAATATCAACACCTTTTGTGTGAATATGTCGATGATTTGGCCATCGTTGTCATTTTATAGCCGCAACAAAGGTAATCAATGCATTAAATACATTTGGAGTTGGTAAATATGTTACTTTTTTGCTGGTTTACTGTTTAGATAATGATGTTCGACCAGTGACGATTCCTGCCGTCAATTCCTGTCGCGTGCGATTTATGAAGTATTTTGGCCAATTTCTTGGGAATGAGCTACAAGTACGATGCTGTCACATTTTATAAAGGTTAAAAGGGGTATGACATATAACGTGTTTGTAGTACGTGGATTTCACTTCCAAGATCGCTCCATATTCGATACGAGGTTATATAGCTTTTATTCCTGGAGAACTTGGTGTTTTGGGGCAGGGAATAAAGCAAGCCAAAAGCTACTATCAATTTGCATACATTGAGAACAAACCGGTGGTTGAATGTCATCGACTATGCTCTCGAGTGATTACAGAGGCTGCCTTACAAATTGTTTCATGTACGTGTGAGTACGATGTTCTGGTATGTTTTTGGTTTTTGATTTTGTTTGCATACAAGCTATCCCCATTTTCGTCCTGAAAATTGCAGCTTTGATCGGCAGCTACGACATTTTCCGAATTGGACAGAACAAGGACATATTATTCAAAAGTCCTGAGCAGTTCCACCAGTTTCTTTACGAATTCGTCGGGGTAAGATTTGTATCACCTAGAAGTGTATTTGTTGTAACAAGGAAGTGAAAATCTAGACGTTCGCCGCCACAGACTTCAATCGGACTCCCGACCAGGTGAAATTCATTGCTTATTCGTACAAAATTTTATAGCGTCATAAGCTAATTTCGTTCAGAAGTGTACATCCACGATCGAAGAAGAGATTTGTAGTGAAAAGTATCACGGCGCCGTTGATTGGGTTGAGAAGCAAGCTGTACCCAATCATTTTTATCATCCAAAAGGCAGTCTTTCTGCTCCACAGAAACTAAGTAGTAAGATGTCGAGGCCCCAAAAGATGATTTTTTGGGTAGATGAAGTGGATAGCGGCTATAGTTCTGAGAACGAGCAATGGACTAGCGAATTTGCACAGCGCCCTTCGGCTAAACAATGCTGTATGGATGATAGTAGTGTCAAACCTACCAGTAGATGCCACAATTACAGTGAACGCAGCAATAACGGGTATGCTGATGTTTACAATCTATCAAAAGTGGATTGAACAACTGGTAACGTGAGTATTTTAGTATGGTCGAAACGGCTGAAAAACAGCATGGAACTACTGGCAAAGAAGGCTCGTTAGATTTTGAAGCCACCGGCTTTGAACCTTCTGATTTTGCGATTCATTGTCAAGCTCTTGATAGAACTGAGTTTGGCAATCCAGAGCATCTTTTAGAAGATATTTTCTTCTCGTACAGGCCATGCTCATCGCTGTTGCCGCATGCGCCAGCCGAAAATAAGGTACATCGCCATTCCTTACGAAAAACTTTGCGCATCGCTTGTTCGTGTTAACTTTCCTTGTGTCCTCTTTTCGGCAGATTTCTGGACGGCCATGGTTAAGCAGTAAGCCCGACGCATTTGACTGTGCTGACGTCTTTTTGGACTTGTGTCAGGACTACTCCAGCAACATTGTTAAGGACAGCGACGAAGATAAATCAGCCGATTTCTATAAGAAAAATTGGCTATTAGTTTCTGATGAAAATCAGATATGTCAGAGGCCAACTTCTCGACCAACGGCTGAGATATCAGATCTTCCAAGTTCAAATTACAAATCGAAGTATTTTGACATTGAACGATCAACAAACGACAATGTGCGACGGTGGGATAAAAGCAAGATGGCCTCATTTGATCGCTTCGCTAGTGCGCTGCGGATAGAAAATACCGGTGTTTCTTCAGGAGATCAGAGTATCAAAATCAGCAAGTCTGTCCTTGAAAATATGCAGGTGATCCGCCAAATTGATCGCAAGTTTATTCTCGTTCAAGTAGATACTCAGCGTGGTAAATTGGTGCTTTGCATCGATCAACATGCAGCGGATGAGCGAGTTCGATTGGAGACATTAGAGAAAGAGATGTTTGGTCAGGATGGGACTTTACGTCGGGTGGAAACCGGGGATCACAAGCCGCCCATTGCATTACGAATGAATCATATAGAGTATGAAACTCTGTGCCACCACGCACGTCTCATCAGAAGCTGGGGGTTTGAGTTCAATTCTGTCGCATTGAAGCCAAAACCGTGTTTTCAAGTACGTGAAAAGCCTGAAACAAGTGGGACGGTCTGTGTGTTATTGTATAGAACCCCAAAGGTGGATGGAAGACTAACAGAAGGTGGAGATTTCCGAGACTATATTCAGCTTTTGTCTAATGCTAGTGAAGCGTATCAGTTCTCCCGTATTCGCCCACCTGTTATCACGAGGCTTCTACACTCTAGAGCTTGTCGCAGTGCAATTATGTTTGGCGATCATCTAAGCCTTGGCCAGTGCAAAGAATTGATCGAAGATCTAAAAACATGCCAGCTGCCTTTTCAGTGCGCTCACGGTCGACCCTCAATCGTTCCTCTCGCAGACATACACGATGGTGTATCTTCATGTTAGCAGTAGTAATACTTAGAACATTACGCCGGCATTACCAGCGAGAACGATCCTGAAACCTTCTTTCAGACAAGGTGCTATTTTGTCGAAGCAACCTGTCAAAACACCTGAGAGCGAAAGACACGTCTTTTGGATCTTAGAGTAATTTTTGAACCAGTCGACCTAAAATCAATAGAACATTACGCCGGCAGATTTTTTTCTAAGGGTGTTGGCGTAATGTTTCAAGTATAAGCGACCGGTGAGATTCCAGATTGCGACGTAATCTCATGTTATTTAACCTCTACGTTTAGAGCACAAAAACTATCGAGCATTACTTTGGCTGGAGCTACCCAGCGCGTTGCTAATTCGACGAAACTACAAAAATGACATGATCGACTTAATAGCAAATTATGTATCTTCGTCAAAACTCGTATCTTACCATGTCTTTGGAGGATGGCAAATTGTTATCGGAAAAAGGTCGCTGCAGGATGTCTCGCGGGTGAGAAAAAGCTGCGGTACTCAGAAGAAGAACGATTAAAGTGGTCACCGAATATTATAATTACTGATTACTCAACATTTTACCTTTTCTGGTTGACACCTGCATGTGTGTCGTTACATCACCATGGTATACCTCACTTCCATCTTCATCTTCATCTTCATCTTCCTCATTCTCATCCTCTTCCTCGTCCTCTTCCTCATCCTCATCGAGAAATGCATTACTCGTATTGATTACTTCTATAGCACTTAATATTCGATCCAGCAACAATCGATCATTTATCTTAAAGTCGTTGACCAAGTCATTTTCTGTTAGCCGCAAAAGCTTTTCACCGTCACACTGCTTATTTTGAAACGTGCGCTGTGCATAAAAACATAAGTTATGATTTACACTTTCATTATACAAATACAGTGTCTGCTTCACCACGGCGTCCGAAACCCCAACGTCTTCGTGAAGCCAGAGACACACATTCTCAACGGTCCAATCTTTTACAACTACAAGCATATTCAAGATTAGATAGCAAGCCTTATCGACAATGATGAATAGACTGTACCTTGAGCAAGTGTCAAATGGCCTTTGTCAGCGTCATAGTCTTCTTTGTCGTCCTCGATTTTATCATATTGGTGATTGGATCGAATGACTGGTTTGGTGCGATCAAGGCCGGCCGGCATCGCGCTTCATCATTTCTCTAAATTAATATGTTCAAACGAAATTGGTAGTCATGATAAACGTCAAACCTGGATGCACTTGCTTGGTTATATATGCTTTTGACCTGCATCCCAGTGGGAATCGATCCTGAGTTCGTGAGCTTTGAGAAGGCAAATTGTCGTCGGGCCATTCGATCGAAATGATTTTCGTCTACTACCACGTAACAAAGTCAGGATGTACCCAAACTTAATCATTTACCTTTACTTTTTTACCTGTTGCCTTTCCGACATCAATCGAGGCATTCAAAGACAGCCGAGATTCAGAAGCATCTTGAGGAGTTGGTGTCGACAAAGTTCTTGACACATCAGGCGGAGGGGGGAATGGGGGAGGAGGAGGGATCCTGGTAGAAGCATTTGAAGTCGTATTTGAAAGCTGGCCTGACAACAAATTACTCGCTGCCAAAGTTGCATCCAGCTCGACCTTGCAATTAGTGGAATGAGCTACAATTGTGTCGGAAGGGATGAGCTTGCAGCATCGAATGCATTTAATCGGACGTTTTGAGCAGCGACTAGCGTGATTAATCAAGGCTGATTGGGGCATCTACGGAAAGAGCAGCAAAGTTGTCAAGTCTTTCAGTCAAGACATCGTCGAGATACATGTGTTTCACCTTTTTGTTGCAATACGCACATGATTTCACATTACTTTTGCACGATGTCTCGTGGCGTAGCAAGTCTCGAGAAATGACAACCATATTGCAGTAAAAACACCGCTTAGGTTTCCAATCACAACTACGCATGCAAATATTTGATCTGTAAGCAAATTGCCGACACATGGAACAAATAAAATCATCACACTTCTGCTCATGATCTTCAATCTTGCTTGCTTCAATTTCGTCATCACAAAACTTGCACTTCACCTACAAGATAATATTGAAATGATATCCTTAGTTTTTTCACTTTGTTGCGCTTACCTTTTCGGTAAGATCGATTTCTGAAGGAGTCATTAGAGAAGCAGTCGTCTTTATTGCTTCAGGACACGCTGGTCGTGATGCTGAAGATGCAGCGGTAGCCGCTATAGTTGAAGGTGTTTTGGGACAGCGTGTAGCCAAGTGAGTCGGGACTCCACGCTGTAAGAATTTGCCGCCGCATCCATTCGGACATGAAACCAATCTACAGTCACAATTTTCAACATGGTTCGCAAGCTCTGACATCTGAACAAATAATCATAAATGCAGTGTACAAACAAACAAGCAGCATCAATTGATCACATTTTACCTTTTGACGACGAAGACAGTGCGGGCATTGTTTCATCACCTTGTCACAATTGGTTTCGTGCTCAAGTAATAAGAGTCCCGGAATTCTCGCTGCACAATGACGACATTGCTTGCTTGATTTCTCAAATTCTATATCTCTGTCAGGGTTTGATTCTGCTTCCGTTTCGCTTAATGTTACTCGATTTGTGGTATTGCACTCACGCTCGTGCCTCGTAACATTGACAAATTGCACTTGCTGCATGCAGAACTTACAGTGTACCACGCGGTTGGGGCATTGCGATTCCTCATGTACAAACTTGAGATCCGAGCGGACAGGTAAACGGCACAGCTCACATGAGAAATGTGTGTCGTAAGGGTATTCCATTGGTGCTGATAACTGGTTAGCACCCACTGAAGCATTTACTGATACGTTGTCTTCATCACTTGGCGCTTGTTTAGTTACTGCATCCGAAACTACTTGATCTGAAGAGATGTCATCATCACGAATCCGACGTGCTTCCAATATGGATGATCTTCCAAAAATTTTGGCGATTGGAGATTGGGCAAGTGCGAGTGTGACCTCGTTTGATGATATAGATGCGGGAATCGAGAGTCTCACATCCTGCGTGATATTTTGGGGTACGTCATTCGACTGAGACGATGAAAGAGGCAATTTTTTTGGCATGTCATCCAGAGCTGGTGAATTTGCAGATTCGACGTTGTACTTGTGAGCATGTGAAAGTGCACTGTTGGTGCGCGAAATCGTCCGAGGTGGCTCTGAATAGCTACCAATGCTACTGACACTTAACTTTGATAAGCTTAAAGTCGCCTCAATTTTATCAGCTTTCTTTTGTGTTAGTGACGGCGGCGAGACAGGTAGTTGGGTATAATCTCCTGCCATCGGAGTGCTGGGAACACTAACTGGGCCTCTTATTCTTAATTCAGTTTTAGACGCTACTGTAGCACCAACCGCAGAGGAAGACACTGAACGAGATAGTGTCGGCTGCGTGTGACTTGACAATGGAGACTGCCGCTGTTTGACATCCTGCACTTGCTTTCGCCGGCCTTCAACACGAGCTTTTGCAAGTTCAGCTTCTGCCTGGGCACCCTTTGCCGTTGCTGCAAGTGTACACTCTCGCTTCTTCGATTTAGCTTCTTCCCTTGAAGCTTGCTCGAAGTCCTGCTCTTTGATTTGGTCGGATAGCGCTATCGTTTGTCGTGTCATGCCTACCATGGATTTCAAATCGGTCGGAAGATCTGATACCGAGCCTGAAAGCTCTGTGAGCTTGAGCAATTGTTTATTATGCACGCAATTGGCATCAATAGCTGGTGCGTTTACTGTCTTTCCGTCAATGTCAACTTTGATTGAATTATCTCCATTTAAAGAATCGGAACCTGGCGTCAAACAAGTTGCCGATTCGGTTTTTGGCGCGGTTGGCGTCGGCGCTGTTGGTTGTCTGGTTACCACATCTAACGTACCTGGCTGATCAGTTGTGGTTGGTATATGAGGAGCTGGAGCTGTTAAAGCTGGGGTGGCCGTGTAGGGATAAATTGGCCAAAATCCTTGATATTGAGATGGCATTGTTGTCATTTGAACATGTGACTGGCATTGCTGTTGGAACTGTTGCTGCATTTTCTGAAACAAATTATCCATTGCTGCTATATGAACACTCGTCTGCTTTTGTAAAGCCAATGTAACATCGCGAATACTTGTATCTATAGTGGACGCGGAGGAAGAGCTCCCTAAACTTGTAGTCCGATTAGACAAAGCAGCAATTGCTAGATCTATTCTTGAAAGCTTTCCTTCAGAACGCTTCAATTTTTGCTCCAATTCTACCATAATATTGTATTCTTCAGCGTGTATGAAGCTTTTCAGGCTAGTCAAGGATGCTTGAATAGTAATCAAACTATCTGCGACTAAACTTTTAGCGTGATTTTTAGAATCCTTTAAACGTGTCTCAATGTCGCTATCTAGTTGTTGACATTTTTTCTGGTTTTGATGTTCCAACGCATTAAGTTGATCCATCATCCGATGACGACTTTTACGTAAGGATTCGTGGAGCTCATCAATTCTCTCTTTTTGCTCATTCAAAGACTTAACAAAATCAAGCCATTTATTTTGCCAGGATTTGACTCGGCCATCGAAAGCACTCGACATACTATTAGCTGTTTGCTGCAATGACTTTTCTAATCGATCTGAAGAATCTTTGACCTTTGCAATACATTCACCTTGCAATCGGTCTTGAGCAGCCACAATTATACTCTCAAGTTGCGTTGTGGTGGCTGCGCAACGAGTTCGACACGTCTCATCAAGTGTATCCCGCATAGTCACCATCTCAGTCTTTTCGACAAATTGTAGGCTACTTGCGTCGACAAGATAACGAAGCGGTTTCGTTTGAGCATCCACGTAATCTTTTACAAGCGCAAACAGCTCAGTCTGAAGTTCTTCGCGTAACTCTTTTATTATTCTATCCTGTTCCTGTTGTCCATCCTTCTCTTTAGGTTTAGACTTCGTCTTCGACAGTTGCCGTCCACAATCTTGATGTATTTCCACCTTGGCAACGTGGTGCTTAAGCGCGCTTATATCGCTGCGCAGTTCATTCAATTCATCTGTGATACGTCGATTGATTTTCTGTGTGACCCTGTCTAGCAACAAACTCGACGAACTCGTTGTGTGCGTTATGTCAGCAATCTGCTGCGCCTGGTGCTGCAGATTCGCCTGAAGGTGTGCTTTTAATGGCTCAAAGGCAGAGTTAAATTGCACCAATAGCTCAGACCTCGACAGCTTTTCCTGTGCTACTGCTTGTGTTGAATTTCCCTGTTCTCTTAAAGCAGCCACAGTTTGACGTAACTCTAGCAGTTGATTCTCAGCTTGCATACGCCACGATTCATCCTTACCGCACATCGATTGCAAATGAAAACCAATATCCTTCTGTGTCGTAAGCTCTTGTCGAATTTTTGACTGCACTTGGTCCAACGTATGAAGCTGACGGTCGTTTGCGCAGACCTCAACCCGTAATTGGTCAAGTTCCTCCGACGTGGCTTTACACAGCTGCGACAATTGGCTTAGCTGGCGCTCCGCAATCACAGCGCGTGCATCAATTTCCAATTTTAGACTCAATCGTACCTGCTCCATCACCTGCGCGATGTTGTACGACGGCGATAAAAACATTTGCTGCTGAAATGGCCCCCTAAAGGCGTCTCGCATTGTAGCATCATGTGAGTTTACGTGATAATCTTGCACATAGTCTTCATCAGTGACATGTCCGTCTTCACTACCACGCGGATTTGTTTGTTGATTGTCTTTAGCTCTCCCAACCGTTGCTGAATTTCGTTTTTGATCTTGCCGCTGATGAAAATGTTGCGAGAAGGTCGTCACCGGTGTTTTCGCCCCCTTAAATGCTGCAAAAGCACGCGATGTCGACGGTATTTGCTGACAAGACTGTTGTCTATCTTGTTGACGACGCTGGCGATATTCATTTGCTATGGTCTCGCGCATATGATTCGCTCCAACATTGTTGCTACCAGAAAATTGAATCGCTGGAGCCTCGTCGACTCTTGCATACTCATCTGTGCTATCTTCAAATTCGCGAAATCGCTGGGCAAGATTGGCATCTGTGCACTTGATGATAGCGGCCAGGTTGGCTTCCCAGTCCATGCCACAAGTATCTGAGTATAACGTCGTTTCATAAAGTAAAAGGTCGCAGATATCTGGTCGGAATTGGCTTACGAATAGAAACGAACTTCGACCTGGTTATGACCAGGAGGTGCAGCCAGCTCACTGATCGCACTTAAGCCAACGAGATGACGGATGGTTACTGCTCAAATATCACAGCTGGAGTAAGAGCCAGGAGAATTTGTCACAACATTCGTTGAGAAAAGAAACAGCCTGCTGGTGGTAGCTCCTTACATTTTTTTGTCAACTGCTGAAATTACATACGGTACCACACTCGCCATGTAATTGTAATGTTTGCCAGTAAATAAAAGGCTTCTTTGTGTTTTCATCTCTGGCGGTCTACGAAAATTAAAAGTTACCTTGCTCAAATGTAAGTCGTGACGAAAGCTGATAATGCAAGTGTTTGTATGAACTGGATACATGAACAACATATATTGTACAGCATGCTGGCATTGGTAATGCAACAAGGATTGAGCTGCACCTACCATCCCATTAAAATTGGACATGGAATATTTATGTCTACTTCATCCAACTACAATCTGCAATAAGAAGTGATTGTTAGCGAATATAAGCCAATCCAGCAAGGTTAACCCTCGAACACGCAGCATTTTTGTAGGAATATAACCCAAATATGCTGCGTGCCAGTATTCTACCTGATGACTTTAGGTTAAACCGGACACACTGACTTTTTCCCTCACGCGATGGTTGGCTGCTATAATTAGCGCGGTGCAAGCCAGCCATTTAGCTCCGAGAACAGGGGAAGGGATCAAGATCTTGACGCAAAAAGTCCACCCAAGAGTCAGATTGAAAAACTCCGAAAGGCAATAACGACCGTTTCTGCGGAGCTCCCCCTTCTTCGTCGTTAACTACCGGACAATCCCATTGCCCCTGGCAGCCCCCACACAGACTTTGACCCTTTGACAACAAGTTATGAAATTGACTGCAAACATGTCCAGCCACCAAGCCATTATGAAGTGCCCTTGGCAGTGGCGCCAGCCATTTCTGGATGAAAAGCGCGAGAGCCGCAAACGCAAGGTAGGCGACGGCTATTTTTACGATCCCGTAGACCCAAACTTTGTGGATCACCTGCTACCTGGTTACGCTAAGAAATTCTGCGGTGCGGATAAGCTTGAATTGGATGAAAAGGAAAACATTCAGCGTGAGATTGAGCGCTTGATGACCAAGAAGAGCAACGAACTATTAAGCCACAGCGACGACGCCAAGCGAGATGATATCACCGGCGATACGAGCGATTTCGATGTTATTTGTGAAAACCAGGCGCTGGTTGATAGTATATTGCTCATGTCTAAGTCCGTGGAGGCTTCTTCCCTCACATTACTTGCATCTCCAAAGAGCGTGATGTCTTCTTCTTCCTCGTCGGACAGCGACGAGGAAGATATCAGCAGTAATAGTGATGAGTCTTTTGACCTTGCTGAAGATCGACCTGCGAAGCTCATTGCGCTCAGCAGCCCGTCGCTCGAGCTCGTGTCTGACAGCTTGCAAGAGCCATACTTTGCGGTCGAGGACAGCGAGCTTCTCGACTTCCCCAGCTCTGGAGTGATCGCGGCGGACTGACTGCAGCAAGTTCGAGCCGTCAGCATCCAACCCACCGACTTCAGTTGTGTGAATTTATTTATTACTTGACAACAGCTTTCATGGCGCTTAAATGTGTGATTTGACTGTGGCACGCTTTTCCGCTTAAGGATGATGGCGTCTCCTCAAGCTGTGCATACATAGGTAAATCGTACTTATAATACACGTTTAATTTCTTCTACCCGAAAGGTAATTTAAGTAGAATTTGGTTTAATGGCGTCCGTACCAAAATGAAGAAGACTTTCTAATCATTTACATCCCACTGTTCGGAGATCACGGCATCTGCCAAAACATTGTGCCTTCGATAACAAATGGTCGCAGAAGCCGGCGAGATACAAGGGTATCTAGCAGGATCTCGATCTTCTCTTTCCCATAGTCGGGCAGTAATTCAGCTAGCTGATCGACACTCTGAGATCATTCAAACGTTAGACGTCAAAGTGACGCACATCAATCACAGAATCTAAAAAAGCGTTAAATACTAACGATGGCGGGTTTGTTGCCTCCAGTTCCTTGAAATTTGTTGTACAATGTGGAAACTTGCACAGCGCCAACACCTCGCTTTAAACGCAAGTGAGATTTAAAACGGCACCTTAACACAAAAATGCAATGATTATACCTGAAATACTGCGGGCAGTAGCGAGAGCTCAAACTTAGGTGTCGGTTCTCCAGCATTGAAAGAGTCATCGTAATTAAGCAACCGTGCTTCCTGCGATACAGTGCCAACGTCCAGACTAGCGCCAACGAGGCGGTTTGACAGTGGAGTATTTGGTGTCATCGCCTTGAGCTGTGTGCGCAACAACGGAGAGGCTAAATCAGGAGTCTTTGGCGTGTCATCGTCCAGAGCAGCGTCATATCGTCGTCGTGGTGAAATTAATGCTTCTGATAACGAATGACGATGATGATTTGGCGATGATGTATTGCTTCTGCTACAATACTTTCGGCGCAAACTCGGAGATGTAAATGGCGATGTTGCTTTTTCAGGATAAAGAGTTTTCGGGTACACCGGTCGCTGTAGGGTTTTACTTAAGTCAGATAGCTTTCGTTTTCGATTGCTGGCGCCGTCTGATACACTCAATTCTGCCGCAATGTCAGATGAATTTTCGTCAACCGTGGTCGACAATCGAACTGTTGTAAATTCTGGAATCAACGGCGATTCATAGGAGTCATCTACATCCTCATCTTTTTTCTCCTCGTCGTTAGATCTGATCTTCTTTTCACGCGGTGGGGTGTACTCGAATGCACCCAACTTCATAAGATTTCTACTTATTCCGGGACTATTACTACTATATTCCACACTGCTAATCGCCGATGGGGGAGTCGATATATGTCGCGGTTCAGCATCTGCGGTGTCCAATTGATCCGTCTGTAATTCACATAAGGTATCAAGCGTCCGCTCGCCTCAGCGATCACAAAATAAAGTCTGTAAATTGCACAAACCGAGATGATTCCCGTCCGAGGTGGTGACCAATGTCCGCAATCACTGGAGCTAAGAGTCGATGTTGATTCCTGCGTCATGGCACCCAGTCGCACTGCTGACTTGGACACATAGGGTGTTCTAGACATTCTTGGCAGATTATCGCTATTAGTACTAACGTCAAGGCTATCATCGTCAGCAGGGCGGTTTGCATGCGACAGTGGATGGTTTTTTTTCAAAGTTGTAGTCTTGAAAGTTTGCTCTTTGCTCGCAAACAATGTTTCCTCCTCTATGTCCTCTTCTTCTGCTTCTTGGTCAATGCGTCTATGGTTTATATACCTTTGTTGCGTCGTTGCAGTAGACCTTGTGGATCCAGGTGTGGATGGCTTAGATAAACGTGATGGCGTGCGCGTGACTCGTCGTGACGAAGGCTGTTGCGTGAATGAGTCAAAGAGTGGCCGCCATACGCGTGAAGCTTCGTGAATCTGCCGCAGAATTTGGTGATGTCGCCGCACTGTGCCGCATATTTCCGTAGCTGATCGATGAGCCGCACAAATGTTGGCATCGATCTCCTGCAGTAGATATGTAATCCTCTGCTGCGCGTCCTCGTCCTTCATTGGCGCCTTCAATAATTAAAACCTTTTGATATTTGCGATTAAAACTGCATATTTGTATCCATAAAAGCTCAGTAGCGACCCCTAAAAAGAGAGTTTACGGATAGCCTAGAAATTATTCTATTTGGCGCGAATGTGCAATTCGCTTTACAGTTTATGAGGTTTTAATGGTCAATTATTCAAATTGTTGAGTGACAACCGAGTGCGGAATCGCGAGTTGAACAAAAATGGAATATCGTGTGCGAAAGCGTGACGCAAACGGCACCGGTCGATTGCCGCGATCGCTTGAAGAGGCAATTCCAGATGCCGTTGTACGCCGCTTTCTTCTGCGCGCAGGCTTCCGCTCCAGTTCGGATCGAGCTAACACGGAGGTTCGGCGTCACGTAAACGAATTTTTTCACCGCATTGTGGGCTGCATGGTGGTCATGATGCAGCACGACAGGCGTCGTAGCTTTCGCCTTATTGATGTAAAGCGAGCATGCGAGCACTTTGGTATCCGTATGTATGGATACGATGACATGTGCTTATTGGCGGCAAGACGCTTTTGCGGACCAGAGGTCTTCCACGTGACAGAGCTTGTAGAGTGCAACTCACTCTACAGTCGCCCAGCGGGAACTTTTAATGAACCAGATACAGAACCTGGTGCGCAGTTTCATAAAACTGATTTTTTGGCAAATTACACATCGTGGAAAGAAGAAACAGGGGATATAGATGACAATGTAAGCGAACTCAGCGAGTGGGAATTTTCCGATAGCGACTCTGAGTCTCAAGGAAGTCAAAACATGGACACAGGCACCTCACAGTCTTCGCAGCCGGATGAAGAAAAGTTCATGACGTCACTGCAAGCTGCACAACAGTTGGTGGATGAGAAGCTTCTGCTAAATAATGAAGATGAAGATGCAGACTTTCAGCCTGGCCAGGGGTACTACTCAGACTATGATGATGGCTTCGAACCCAATTACATGAAGAAACAAAGAGCTTATGATAAAAACGAAGAAGCTTTATGGATCCAGGTTGGGGAGCTCTATGTGCTGCAGAACGACAGAGACAGTGACATTGTCGAAATGCAGGACTTTGTTAGTGGTCCTAATTTCTATGTTATTTCACGCCAGGAGTATATTAGACTTTTTCGGTCATTAATGAGTCTCACTCTTAACATGGGCGAGCTGCAGATCAGTTCAGTTGCGCTCAGCGCCTTGCATAATGCAACTGAGCAATGTTTACACCGCTCTCTCACGGAAGGCTCACTGCGATACCAACTTGCTGCTATTTTAATGGAACAAGAGCAAATGAACTATACGAACCAACTGGAAAAGGAACTTCAGATTCAGCACGAGAAGGTAAATGAGCTTTGTGAAATCATTGCTGTTAACAAAGCTGCTGTCAAGGCTAAAGAATTAGCGATGCAGCGACAGATCGATCAGCTCACAAAACAAATATCAAGCATTCAAGAAACTCATCTGAATGATTCTACCTCTAAAAAGTTGCTTAAAAAGCGGAAAACTGGCAGTAAGAAAACTCATATTGTGAGCAAAAGGCTGTCTCAAACCCAAAATGGTGCTACGTCCGTAACAGGTGCGCTGCGCTCAAGGTGTCAGAATCAGTTGGGCACGAAGAAGGCGAAGATCAGTCTCGTTTAATCAAGCCCATGAGTTCGGGTGACGAAAAATGCGCGAGAGTTGCTTTACGTTTAAATGTTGTCTTAGTTCTCTTTTTTCAGACCACAATATCTCTAAAGTCGCAATTATAATTCCAATTCATTTTCAAATCAATTATACACTCTATCCTGCAGTGAATTGATAGCCTTATATTGCTTTCTCAGATACAAATGCTTCTTCATCTGCAGCTTTGGCTCGAAGTGTGGCTGTCACGTGACAGATATCTACAAACTCAATAAGGTGCTGGAAAAAGTCATCGCCGATCGCACTGGAAATGAATTCATTTATGCACTTTAATTTGGCAAGTTTCTTCGAGCTGAGGTACTCATAATTCAGTACGCACCTAAGATACGCTTCGATGTTGTTGTGGCCAGCATCAGTGACCCACAGAGGCTTGCACCTCCATTCCTGGGAGCACATCTCGAATAATCCTTCTCCATGCCAAAAAGGCACTACTTCGTCTCGAGTGCCGTGAATTATAGTTACAGGCGATCGCACCTGATTAATTATGTCGCTGTTGCAGAATAAGTCGCCCGGAAATGTATAGCGAAAATTGAAGACGACTCGGAACATTGAGAGGACAGGACTCTGGAGAATTACACCTGCAACAGGCTGCTCAATATTCGACTGCTTCACTGCGAGGTGCGTCGCTGGCCCAGAGCCAAGCGATCTGCCATATCTGTCGCCATAAGACGTCATTTCGTCAAAACTACTATGCAGCAATGGGCAGCACACTAAATTGCCTACAAAATTATTTTGCTAGGGGGTATTTTCTTCACGTTTACGAGGTACGTGAACGCAGCTTCACTATCCGCAAGACAAGCTTCTTCGCTGGCTTCACCTTCACTGATGCCGTATCCAGAGTAGTCGTAAGACATAACATTTACCTACATATATATACGTATATCGCAATTAAGATGCAACTTAATTAATGATTGATATATTGAATATCTTACCTGAAGTCTTCTACTCACTTCACAAAACCAATCATAGATCATTCCAAGATCTGCAAACGTCAAACGAAACAAAGCGCATACATGCATCAATAACTTTCAATGCAGGTCTATCTGTTCTCTAACCTTCTGCGTTGCCATGCGAAAAGAGCACAGTGTATTCAGCCTTACTGCAGACAATTCTCACAGTAAGCAAACATCATCAAAATGCAATTGAATGAACTGGTCTGCTGCATCCTACTCGTATGGAATAAAAAAAGCTGGGATCCTGTTGTTCATAACCGTCACAAGAAAAAAGTAGCGGCGTGTGTAGCCGTAGGTTGGTGGCGGCGGCTGAAATACTAAGGCCGAGACAGTGCTGCCCATTGTGCGCGGCTAGCTCTCCAAGCCGGCACCGATGCAGATGACGGCCTCTGCTCCTTCAAACTTTATCAACGTCTCAGCACAGTAGTTATGAGTATCTTTTGGCGCACATTTGCGTTCCTGATATGAATTAATAGAATTACCCTCCATAAATTGATTATGGTAAATGAAGTTTTTGTGCAAAAAACATACGAGCCAATTTGTACATTATTTCTGCTCAATTTTCCACACTAAAGCCAGAAAATGTTTCTTGCGGCGCCTTTTTGTCAACTGGTTAATACCACGAAGGTCCTCATCAAGAGCTTGTCGCATTTGTCGCTCGTCTTCATCAGCCAACATACCTTCTCTTCGAAGCAATTCTGTAAAATGGCCTTGGTTAGGTGAAGTAAGATTCAGCTGCGGCACCCGATGTAAAAGAGGGTGGTCGTCTAATATAGAATGTTGCGAATAAGGTTTAGATAAGGATTTCGGGCTGAGAGTGAGTTGCTGAACATATTCGTGATCTGAACCATTTAAAGCTGTCCACGGGACACGATAGATCATTCTTGGTAGCCGCTTAGAGTGCGTACTTTGATGTCGCAAAACTGCGTCGTGGAGTCTTCTTCCAAACTCTAGCCAGTGTTTTGTGCACGTGTGAAGCTGCTTAAACCCAGGAACACTCGCCAACAGCCGCGTTTTAATGCTGTGAGGATTACGTTTCGCTGCTCTGTAAAGAGTGTGCAGATTTTGTAACTCCCTTCTCCGTCTTGATCGACTCCTAGTGGTACGATCAGTCACTGTCAGGCAATCGCCAGTGTTCAAGCGGAATAGATTTAGCTTACGTTTCTCTTACAGAGGTGGGGCTGGAGAATGTGAATCCTGAGGTTAAAGTGTCATTGATTTCTTATTCGTTAGTTAGAAATGCAACGATTAGATAGCTGATATCAAAATTCGTACCAGTGAGATCTGGTGTTGACGGCTTTAAACTTGGCTTAGTAAATGGCGAAAATGTCACGCATCGGGTTGCACCAGTATGTCGCTTCAAAGCTATGCGTCTTTCGTCGCCGTTGGTTTTACTGTTTGTTTGAGGGCTGGCATACGACGACAAAGTCTTCAAGATTGGTCGGGGCATTGCGATTGTCACGTAGTCAAAAATGCTACCGGTTTACCTACCGCATAATTAATACAATTGTGCGAAATTCGCATTACACACGGTGTAATTGTGAATATTCAAAAGTACCAGATTTACGATGTTGGTGAACTCCGAAAAAGGACAGAAAAAAAAGACAATTTTATAATCAGAGATAGTGAAATCTATGTATTTATTTTAGAAATGTGTAATGCAGAATAGAGGCTAACCTAACTTTTGTTGATTTAATACGACAGAGGTCGTTGGTGATCGCACCTATTCAGGCGTATCACGTGCTTTTATAGTCTTTGTGTCCCCACCAACGGAGGCAAGAACAGGTGGACTGTGTCCAGGGTTTGAGACCTTTAATTTCCGCAATGGCATCTGACCGACTTCTGGAGGCGGTAATGATAACCATATCTATGTCGGATCACAAAGGAATCTGGCTCGCACTAGTCTATGTTACCTCTAATGAGGAAGCTATGGGTGTCGCATTCGACCTGAAGCGCGACTACCAACAGGATAGGTGCTGGAAGCGTGGCCAGTAGACCTACGCGTACAAGTGAACCTGGTTCGTTAGTGCTAGTACTATTTTGGGTTATATTGCTCGCGCAGGCATTGGAGATGCCAAAAACAATTACATTTTAGTGTGTTTTGCGACGGGGACATGTCTCTGGTTATAATGAACCTTTCAGCAAAGTTTGAGAGCTTTGACAATGTGGAATGCTGCCTGGTTTCCTTTTAATCAAATAGCTTTGACGGCGTTTTTCGTACGCTATGGCTATACCGTAGCTCAACTGGAAGTCGAGGAAGCTGGGTACCACGCCTTTGACTTCCCGTAGGGCTTTGGTGAGTTATACAGCAGGGGGCAGAAGTGCTTTTGGCGCGCGAACAAAGCCGCGAAATCCTCCGTGTAAAACACAGAATGTTTCGATATTGATAGCGGTGAGCAGAACTCGGAAGACAGAAGCGGAAGTAAGCCGAGTTCGCAGGATAAGACGGATAAGGGTGATCGTATATCACGGTCTTTAGCTGTCACCTTCGTTAAGACGAAAAAGGGCGATTGTGCTTATATCGTATCTCCGTTCAAAGGAGCAAAAGAGACGGTATGTCCAGAGATCTCGAATCTATCTCCGGCGCCAATCTTGAACATCTGTGAGCTGTTATCGAGAACCGACTAAGTGTCACAATATCATGTGTTATAGCCGGTAGAGTTGAAGAGCGGCTGTAAGTCGCCAATGGAAGACCCGGGCCCTGAGGACGAAAGTGGTTCTTTGTCAAGATGGGACGGTTTGGCTGTTTCAGCACTGCTGTGCGACACCTTGCGGAGCAGTGAAGGTTTGCGGATAAGTGGCAAAAAAAGAATCATTTACTTAAAAGTGAAGTGACCTGGGTAGGGTTGTAAATTCTCCGTCGCTACCTCCGGTAAGAGCTTATAGAGGGATAGAATATATGTACACAAAATTGCTAGACGATGAGATCACTGAAATGGTAAGGTTGGGACCAGAATTGAAGCTGAGGCTGTCATCCGTAGTGAATCAATCCATCCTTTTAGATACCTCCGCAGTACTTAGTAGATCAAACGGCAATGTTTCTTACCTAGGGTGCAGGGCGACATCTTTGGCTCTTTCTTCCGCGCGAAGCACGGAATGATTAGAGTGTATATCTCGTCACTTGACGGCGACTTTCGGTAAGCGCAATTGGCCAGTTGTACATGCATAAAAAGTCCAAATGCAGCCACAATTCTGGCGCAAATAACGATTTTTAGACAGGATGTGCTGTAGAACAGAATAGTTTACTAACTTTGTTCAGTTGTTAACATTGACTGTCGGTCAGACACTGCCATCTCTCTCTCAATACGAAGAATTCTTCGCGCTGATAGCTCTTTAAAACGATGGTTATAACACAAAGACTATCTTATGAGCCAACGACGCTCGATTGATTGGTGACTCAGCTATCTGGCCATATCGTATTTATGCGCGAGCCCATGTCGGCCGTATTTTCGATTATAGTTCTATGGAAGGGGTACGTTCTAGTTACATACTTCTGTGTCTGACATTTATTGTGACCCTGTATAGTTGTATATCACGAGGAAGGCTTAGGTCCATTGTCACGCCCCACCGCGTATTGCTCACTTCTAGCGGGTCGTCGACTTACGTAGAAGGGGGATAAGGTAAAGTGACATTTATTATTATAGCCAATGAGCCCCCAGTACTTCCAGCTCTGTTATAACAGAACTGGAAGTACCTTTCAGGGCTTCTTACCTCTCTAACCTGACGAGCACTTCCAATTCTGGTACAACAGAACTTTGGAGTACTTATCTGATACAATAAGACTGGAAGTACTTATCAGGTTAGGGAGGTCAAAAGCCGATTGGCTATAATATTAAATGTCACTTTACCTTCTCTCCCTTCTACATAAGTCGACGGCCCGCTGGAAGTGAGCAATAAGCGATGAGGCGTGTCAGTTGACCTAACCTTTTTAGTAAAGAGTGAACACGGACGGGTGATTCTCGTTACACTTGGTAGCAATAGTAGTCATTCCAACGCCGACTACTTTGATGACTTTATCGACGGACAATGTGGACACGACAGGCGGTGGTTGTCCTCGGATTAACAGGAAATAATATTAGCTCCTAACACACTCGCAGCGGGAGTATGTGGTGAAACTGCGAGTTTTAATCGTAAATCACGCGGTCTCCGATATGCTCTAATTTGGATCATGAAGCGATATACCAACGCTTAGAAAATTTTGATGCGTATGAGCAAGGATTATTGGGATTTCTATCGCAGAAAATACCGACGCCGGTTCCGTCATCTCCTCCACAAGTGGTAGTGACACACGAAACGTCCCGTGAGAATCTAGACTAAAAGCTTTCACGGGGACGAAGATGAAGATCTTGCGTTCTGGCAGCAAGAGACGGATATCGCGACACGAAGGCTCAAATTCGTGACGACCATTGTCAAGTGGGCTTTGCTATGTTGCATTCGGATGGCCGTGAGGGAGACTGGTTGATGACGTGGAAAGTCACCCGCCCTGGCTAGCGATAGCTGGATATGCTCATGAAGTCGGTGTTCCATCCATCGAATGCGGCGGTTTGACCACGGGCGAAGTTTCCGTTATGCAGACAGGACAACTTCACGTTGTAAGGCTACATACAGAAGCACTATGAGCTTCGCGCCAGCATGGGGAGTGAATAACTATCAAAGGCAGTGGTGGTCACCGTGTTCATGGTCGGATTCACTTATGGTTCTCCTAAGACTGAACTTTCCGCTATAGCCCGACGACTCTGGAAGATGTAGTTATGATTACATTACGTGAGGATTACTGTCAGCGCCAATGCATGTCGTCAGCCCGACGGAGGAAAGAGTGGCTGCTGTTACCGAAATTTCTAAACCAATGGACCTTAGCGCGGCGATTGTTCGTAGGCAGCAAGTTCGTCTCAATCAATGTGTCTCGAGTCACATGGTACTAATAACACGAGGTGCTCGGAAAGCACCGGTACCAAGTCGATCTTCTGGGGCAATTATAAACTCTTGTGAATGGGGTTGTAGCATCACTCACGGGTTTTAGCACTTGCAGGATCGCTGCCCTTCGTCAACGACACGAGTCGGAGTGGTCGCCTCATGGTCACAGCGAGTGTGAAGGTTTATATTGTCCGTTTAAAGTCTTGATTGACGCTGGCGCGTCGCGTAACTATGCGCAATAGCAAAGTGTTGCTGAAAAAAAGTCAGTGTTTTTGGATGCACTAGATAGAATCAATGGCTTCATCTCAGTGAAGTCGGTCACAGGTGTGGTGGTCACCGCGAAAACAATTTTGGTTGATCTTCAAGTGAAGCTCGAAGACTTAGACTCGAACGAAATACTCACTGTCCTTGTGATGGACAAACGGTATGACCTGATTTGAGGTATATTTTAGCAAAATCGATTGTGAGTAGCTCTCCTGGCGTAGGATAAACTCTTGGGAGTAATGAAACCCACGGTTATTATGCACCAGAATTAGCGCTCAAGCGCTAGGTAGTCGTATGCTGCTGAAAACGAACCATAATTCATTGGTATATGTCATGCAATTGACAATTCATAGATAAAGAAAGGTACGGAGTGGTGCTCGGAACTTGCCACTTAAAAGTGAATGAATCGTTGGTGGGCAGTGCAATTTGCCCGACGAAAAAAAAAATATGCGGGAGAGATGTCGGTTGTTGCATCCCTCGAGAATATGTTGTCGACATCTGTGCAATGGAAAGTGTAAGGAATCGACTGTGGCTGGATATACCAATACTCTCACCAATACAGTGGTTGAGTGGGATTGTGGGTCAGTAGGTACAACTGACCACAAAGGTAATAGTCCCACCCGTTTTGTGCGCACACACATGTGAAGGAATCAACGGATTTTGTTGATTGCGGTATTGATACTTCCGCTCTGGATGCGGTTGAGTCCACGGGTGAGTTAATTCCGCGTGCTACTCCCCATGATGGAAATCTGGCATGCAAATATGCTAGTCCATGTGTTGTTGATGCAACGACTGGGTGTGAGATTACAAAAAAAAGATGTTCTTTTGGCGTCGTTGCCGACGATGGAAAAGCTGGTGCAGCTCGAGGAAGTCACTTACGATATCTTCCTACACAATCTCCAGTGTGATGACATTGCGAAAATCGTGTTTCTACGGTCGAGTATTGACTCAGCGGAAGTACGCTCGTCATTCGTTATGGATGATTCAGCTCTCGACAATTTCGCCAGCGTGTGGAGTTACTCAGAGAGTTGGATATTTTAAAATTTCAATATTATTATTCACATGTTATGGATAAAAGATGACGTCCTTAGTGCGAACCCGCCCTCTGGACCTCCACCCAAACGTTCAATTCAACACGAAATTGATCGTGTGCGTGGTCAAAACCATGCGGTGTTTAGACAGTGGCCACTGTCGCGCGAACAAAGTGAGTACATGGATGTCATATTTGCTCAAAAACAAGCTGTTGGTTTGGTGAGAGAGAGCAAGTCCCCT